AAGGCAACAGGTAATGAACTCACAACGGTGTCTGCTTCTGACATCCTCCTCCCCTCCGTCCCCTCTCCCACCCCCAGTCTAAATGCTGCGTCCCCCTTCCAGCTGCCAAGAAAGCTGATATCTGGCCCAAACCCCGCTGGGTCCTTGGGAGCGTTACAAGGACTACTCACCCTTCTGTGCCTGCGTGCTCTGGCCCAGATGCAACCCTAGAAGGAGACACCGAGTGAGAACCAGACCCGCCCTCCTGGATCCACCACCTATTTGCACCCCGACCCTTCTCTCCCAGACTCACCAAGAAACAGCAGGGTAGGAAGGACCACAGTCATGATCCTGCGTCCAAGCCGACCTGCTGGCCTCAGCACCGCTCCTCTTGTGAAGAGCAGACCGCTCCGGCAAGAGGCGCTGACCTACGGGAAGTCGTGGGGAAGCTTTCAGTTCTCAGCCCTACAGCGAGGGCAGTTCACATCCTCTTCCTCCTGGGCGGGGCCTGCCCACGTGGCGGGTGTCAGGAGCACCTTGACCTGAACTTCAGCCATCAGCCCAGCCTGACCCCAATCTTCTGTCCCTGCTGCTTCATTAACATCAAAACTTTCTGTATACAGTGAGCGGTGAGAGAGATGCCAGGCAGAGAAGAGGACAGAACATTCCCAGTGTGAGGTCTGCTCTGAAATACCGGGGGCGCTCATGGCCCTTGCCTCGTGACCCTGCACTTCCATCTCCTCCTGTGCAAAATGGGCCAGATTATGAGTTTCTGAAGCGCTCTCCTCAGGGTGTGTGCAAACCGCCCAGAACACGCGCTGCTGGAGGGGGCACAGCTCACTCACGGGTTCTGCCTCTTCCCTGGACGGTGGTCCCAGCATCGTGTCAGCACTGCTTCTGTCCGTGCTGTCAGCTTTGAACCTGAGCCAGGTGCTTTCATTGGGTCTGTCACAGGTTTGCTCTGGAGCCGTCACGCCGGCTGAGCCGTGCGGAGCAGCGCTGCCATCCCTTCTTCTGGATGAACATGCAGTTTTGACGGAAAATCTCCTCCTCATTCCACCCCAAAGGGAGCGCTCTTCTCCACAGATCTGAGCTGATTCACGTCCCCGAGCTCTCCTTTGAGGAGGACCACACGGGGGCAGGTGACAGGGAGTCTTCACAGAGCTGTGGTGGCTTGGATTGCTGTTCCCAAGCACCTACTCGGCTCTCGGTGCATCCGGTTCTGAGGACTTTGCAGCCGTTGGTGGAATCACACATGGATCTGCAAATTCAGAAACAACTCCGACTTCCGCCAGCATTTCCCTTTGGTCGCTGTGCATCAGTCCCACCACCTGAGCTGGACACCAGCGTCACCGCAGCCCGGTCAGTTACGTCCACGCTGATCAGGTCTGCTGTGTCCGTGTGCTTGGGTCGCGGCTGGGCAGAGAGAAACGCGGCGTAGAGGCTGTACTTTGAGAGGTCTGTGGTGACGAGGAGGGGTGTCCTCAGGACCGAGAAGACATTGAAAGGTTCCAGCTTAGGGGAAGAGGCGGACAGGTGCAACGTGGACAGGACTTTCCTTTGTCTGACGCTAGGGGAGCGTATCCACATCTACTTTTATCTATCAGTTATCTCTTCATTATCCATCTGTTTCATTCTATCTGTCTTTCTATCTACCTATCTAACTATGTATCTATCTATCCATCCATCCACTGTCTATGAATCATCTATTCATTGTCTATCAATCATCTATTATCTATGTCATTTATTATTTATCTATTGTCTCTTAGTCATTTCTTATCTGTCTATGTATCCACCCATTATTTGTCATCTTTATTTATCTCTTTTTTGTTTATCTGTCAACATCCATGTGTCATCTTTCTATGTTTCATATCTCTCCCTCCTCTGCACTCTCTCGCACTGTCCACTACAGCATCAAAAGTGAATCCTTGAGAGGAGGATGTAGCTCAGTGGTAGAGCACGTGCTTAGCATGGTATGAGGTCCTGGCTTCAATCCCCAGTACCTCCATTAAAATAAATAAATTAATTAAAGTGAATCCTTGAAATACTGGAGTCACTATGTTTTGGGTCCCCATTCCTACAGCAGCATTTTAATCTCTCTATATAATGCAAGGGATAATAGAATCAGAATAAAAAAGGAAGACATAATTTCCAATCTGAGGACTGCTGTGAAATCCCGTGAACCCCTGGTCTTCACCTCTCAGTGCTCCGTAATGCATCCTTTATACACTACATGAGGGGCAGTGCCGATGAGTTCCTGAAAAGCCGTAGTCACGCAGTGTGTAAGGTGCCTAAGACAGATCTTGCTAGAGAGGCAGTTGCATAGTTATTATGAAAGCAGCTCTTTGGCCCTGTTCCTGTTTGCCCATCCCAGTCCCCCTCTAGCCCCAGAAGAAACTACTCATAGCTTGGGATCCGTCAGCAATTTAACCGAACTCCTGACTTCTGCTTTCCTGCGTGCACACCATGCTTTGCCTGGTCTGTGGCCTCACCTAATTCTTTCCCCAGATGAAAAGAAGTGAGAATGAAGAATAACATAGCTAAAAAAAAAGACACTATGAACTCATCTACAAAACAGAAACAGACTTCCAGACATAGTAAACAATCTTATGGTTACCGGGGAAAGGGGGTGGGAAGGGATAAATTCGGGAGCTTGAGATTTACAAATGTTAGCCACTATATATAAAAATAGATTTCAAAAAGTTTCTTCCATATAGCACAGGGAACTATGTTCAATATCTTGTAGTAACCTTTCATGAAAAAGAATATGAAAATGAGTATTTGCATGTATATACATGACTGGGACATTGTGCTGCACACCAGAAATTGACACGTTATAACTGTAGTTCAATTTAAAAAAAAGAATTAAGTAGTTAAAGAGTGACTAGGTCTCTATCCCACAGCAACCCCTTTAGCAAGCCTGCAGGCAGATCACGTGGGCAAGATAGCATCTAAAGAAAGATACCGAGGGGTGGGCCAGTCGGCATGCGGCAGAGAAAGATGCACAACCCAGCCTCCTGCCTCCCCTTTAAAACCTGTCGTGGGCAAGCAGAATCTTCAGAGTTGGTTCTGGGACACAAATCTGCCTTCTCCCCAGATTGCTGGCCTTCTGATTAAAGTAATTTTTCCTTTCTACCAACGCTTGCCTCCTGAGTATTGGCTTTCAAGTGGCGAGCAGCGTAACCTGAGTTTGGTAACAATTATTCCATCGTCCTGACCTTTTCTGCGAACATTCCCAACCTTATGTCAGCAGTGACAGTTTGTGGCCTTTGACAAACATCCCCCCTTCCCCACCTCCCCTGCCTCCGTGAGTCTGACTTTTTGGGTCCACATATAAATGATGCCGTTCACTCACATTGTGTCGTCCTCCGTCTGGCTTATCTCACGGAGCAGAAGGCCCTCCAGGGGCATCCATGTTGTCCCAAGTGGCAGCATTTGGAGGCCTTAATGAAAACCAGGTGATTTAGATGGTGGCTGTTATTTCTTCTCCCAGGGTGACAGCCCTACCTTGTCCATGAGATGCCTCTGCCCTCTTGCAGAGACCCAGAGCCTGGCTTAGACAGGTTTTCAACGGCACAGGGCGTGCTGCTGAACTGCTTCTGAACTATGGCTTCTTATCAGCTTGTCCAGCGCTCTGCTGCGGCCACAGAGTTCCTCTTTCACATTGCAGGCTCCGTCTATCCCACTCAGACTCGCTTATTCCAACAGAAGCCTGTTTAAATCCACCCCTCTCCCCGGCCACCTATGAGTTATGTGAACTTGGGGGTGTTAACTTAAGATTTCAGTCTCAATTTCTTCACGCATAAATGAGAATGTTAAGCGTGTACGTGCCCCGTGGGGTTACAGAATGACTAAGTGAAATAACTTAAAGACTGGCTCATGACACATGTGAGTCCATGGGTGAATCTGTGATTGTATTTCCTTCCAGCTGATGTTCTGAACGCTAAAATATGTGTGCGTGTGAGTAAACAACTGTATACCTTATGCACTGGGTGATTCAGTTGGTTAGTTAGGTAACTAGTTAGCTCTAGTGCTTAGCTAATAGTTCAAGGCGCTGACTGAAATGCTTTACTGCCTTGATTTGAATTCTGGATCAGGCAATTACAATCTGATAGCTAACTCAGCATTACTTTTTAACATCAGTAAAATGAAATTATAACAGCGCCTACTTCGTAATTTTTATGAGGATTCAAGGACGTGGCACGTGCAAAGCTGTTCAAGTGGTTCCAAGCAATGGTTTGCTCCATAATTTTATTATTATGAACAGTAATTTGTCATTTTAAAACTAGTCGTTAACACTTCCTTTTAATTACATGGGTTGTTTAACCATCCTCTTAAAATGCTGAATGGACCTGGGTTCTATGGCTAACACAGCCTTGTTCTGGAAACTGTTATTATTCTTGGGCGTTTGTTTGATATGCAGAAGTATCATCTCTCCGAGGAATGTATAAAATGTCTCCATTCTTTGTCAGATGGCTTTCCACCAAATACCACTGTTTGGTTTAATTTGTACTCACTGTTGATTGGCGAGGTTAGTCTTTGATACATTTACTGGATTGGTATTTCAACATTTCTGAATTGTAAGTGTGAGTTTTGAAAAGAGGGTGAGAGAGAGGACTTTGTAAGAGCAAAGGAGGAATACGGTTTGGGGGCTTGTGTTGCGTGTGTGTGCGGAAGCAGCAGAGAGACAGGTGCATTTTATAAGCAGTAAGTTGACACGTGGCAAGATGTGCTTCCCATTCCCATCTGTTTAGGCCAGTGGATTGATCATAGTGACCCAGTCATTTTTTCTGATTCTATTCCACTATAGCTCATTGTGGACACCGAATACAGTTCCCTGTGCTGGGCAGTGAGTCCTTGTTGCTTCCCTGCTCTTCGTGTAGTCGTTTGTACCTGTTAATTCCAACTCCTAATCTGTCCCTGTGCCCCTCCTTTTCCTTTTGGGTAATCAGAAGTTCGCTTTCTGTGTCTGTGGGTCTGCTTCTGTTTTGTATACAGATTCATTTGTATTAGTTTTTAGATTCTACATGTAAGTGATATCATATGATATTTGTCTTTCTCTGTCTGACTTACTTCACTGAGTTTAATATTCTCTAGGTCCATCCATGTGGCTGCAAATGGCAATACTTTATTCTTTTTTGTAGTTGAGCAAAATTTCATTATGTGTATATATATACACCACAATTTATGTTTTTATAATCATAATCATTACCACTATTTATTGTTATTGACATAATCATTTTTACCTCAGTGTTTTATTTCTCTACCCCCTTCTCCCTACATTTTCTCTTAAGTGTCAAAATTAGATAAGCTTAAAGTTCTCTCTTTCTCTTTCTGTCTCTCTTTCTCTTTCCTGAGATCCATAACTGGGGAGATAAGCAAGTGTCTCAGGAAAACAATCCCAAATGGAAAGATAAAATCAAACACACATACCCTCACCCCTTGAAAAAACCACAAACAATTAAATTTTTTCTTATAGAGCTTAGATCAGAAATACGAGGGGCTGGCTAAATACTCTGCTTAGGGGTCACAAGCCAAAATCAAGGTGTCATCCAGTTTGGATTCTATACTCAAGACTCCGGGGAAGAATCCTCTCCCAGGGTCCCTTAGTGTGTTCACAGAATTCATTTCCTTCTTACAGTTCCCACGTGTGCCCACCTGCACAGCATCTTCATCTCCAGCAACAATGTGTTAAATCCCTCTCATGCTCCAAATCTCTGATTTCCTCTTCTACCCAGTCTCTCTGGCTTCCTTCTCCTCCAAGGGCTCATATAATTACATCGTGCCTGCCTGACAACCCAGGACCATCTCCCTAGCTTGACAGCAACTGATTAGGAACTTTAATTGCACCTGCAAAATCCCCCCAGCCCTGTAACAACACAACCACTCAGAAAAACCACAGACAACTTGCTGAATTCTTTCATCCCTCTTATCTAGTCATAGGCTATTTTTCCAGTCATAGAGCCTAGATACGCTTCAAGTTTTCAAATTTTTTTCCCCTCAAAAAACACCAGCTCTTCAATAGGCAAAATGAGACAGGATGAACATGTATAAGAATGAATACAAAATAAGTGGAATGAATACACATTTAGATGTCAGCATAAATGAGCACCATCAGCTGCGGAACAAATGAGCTTGATCATTATGATTTATGCATTTTACTTAACAGAGATTTGATGCATTTCAGTGTACTTAGTACAGTGGAAGCAGCAGACAATTGCAATTACATCAGTGGTTCTCAGCCAGGGGTTATTTTGTCCCCTCCAGGGGGCATTTGACAATGTTTGGAGATATTTTTGGTGGTCAGACCTGGAAGGTGCTTTTGGCATCTTGTGGTAGAGACCAGGAATGTTGATAAAAATCCTGCAATGCACAGGTCAGCCCCCCATGACAAAGAATTGTTGATCTCAATATGCTGATAGTGCCAAGGTTGAAAAACCTGGCCTAGATGGTCTGGGAGGGAGATTGTCTATTAAAGAATCATCTGGGGAGATTTTGCAGCTCCTGGCTCCCTAAAGCCCACCGCAGACTAATTCAATTAGGATTGCCAAGGATAGGGCCTGGGTAATTTTAGTGTGAGTCTCGTTTTAAGGGTTGAGAAGCACCTACGGTGAGGGCCACTGCACCGTGGGCCAGGAGGCTGCCCCACCCAGCGTCCTGGGCCAGTCCCGGGGCTTGGGCTGGCGGGAGGAGGCTGTCTCTTACTGGAGACTTCATTTACATGGGGCACCCACAGGCTGCGAGTGAAGTCCCGGCCTGAGGGAGGCAAGTGCCAGCTCCTGTACCTGTTTCTCTGTCTCATCGTTTAAGTCAACAGCAATTATTGGTCGAGTCTCCACCGCAGACTTTTGTGAGTTTTAATGGCTGGTGTGAGACCATTAGAAGGATTTTCGAGGTCCTCCAGCTGAACTGTCTCTACAAGGAGGAGAAAGAGATATGGAGGGGGCAGCTGCCTGTGATTTTATAGCTAGTTTTTTCTTCTAATGTTACTTTTCAGTATTTCATTAACGTATAATTTCCATCCGTTTCAAGTGTGCAGTGACTTTCAGCAGACTTAGAGAGTTGTGCGACCAGCACCACAACCCAATTTCAGAACGTTTCCATCACCCCGAAGAGATCCTTCAGGCCCACCCTCAGGGTCTCTGCGTTCGCGCTGTCATTCTGAGCAGGGCTCTATTGTGTCTGAGCCTCAGTCTTTCATCTATAATTTGGGATGGTTCCCCTCCTTGATCTCAAAAGACAGATGCCAATGTCACCGTCATGAAGGCTGAGGGACAGCGACGTGGTCATAGAAAACACGAGTTTGTACTCCCCCCTCCAAATGCTTGTGGTGACGGAGCATCGGGGGAGGCGGCTGCTGCTGACTGTGCGCGGGGTCCTGGGGGGGTCTGTGCCCGCAGGCGCAGCGCCTCCCTCCCCCTCAGCAGGTGCCTCTGTTTTCACTTTGCTGTCACAGCAGAGCCCCTGGGGCTCAGCGCCTACGTTTATCAGGACTGGTCTTCCTCCTCCTGCCCCTCATCCCTATGACCCTGCCTTCTTCTCCTCTCAGGGTAAAGCCACTCACCTGCAGTCCCGCCGGGATGGGGCAACTCATTCTGTTGAGTAATTTTCCAAGCCTCTCTCTCAAGTCCCGCTTTTGTCTGCCCCTGAATGCACCCAAGTCGCCGACTCCCCCCCTCTCCCCGTCACGCACTCACGCTGGGTGGGAACGACCCTCTCTCCCAACGGTAACAGCAGAGAGAATCGCTGAGCGCAGGTGTCCGTGCTGCTGTGATCGCAGGGCACGGTCACCCAGGGAGGGCGCCTCCGTGTTCCCGGCCCGCAGGCTGAGCCGGCTTAGCCGTGGGAGCTAGGATTAAGTGACTCATCCAGTTCTGGGAGCAGGGTCAGCCTTGCACGGCACTCTCCGCTCTGGGGTTCTCAAACGGGCACGCTCATTCTTACCTAGCTGTACTAAACCGGAAATTCCTCGTTTGCTTCCTTCTGACTTCATCTGGGTTTGCATCCAGCATCTCCTTCAAGGAGGTACGCTCCATCCGCTGGGTGGTCTGGAGAGCTGCCCACCTCTGTGCACCATTTAGTCTTGAGGTTCACCTTCTCGTTTTCCCATGGGGCTCTAATACAGTTTCGCTGTACTGGGCTACCTGGTTTAGTAAGCGAGAAGTCCTAGGTGTCACCTTCAGTCCTCACTGGTCATCCTTAGGTTACGTGAGAAGCAGATTACCGGTTTGTAAGCACACTCTGGACAGGACCAGCCACCGACTTTCTGCCCATCGTGATGGCTTGCTTCAAACCGTGCTTTTCTGTGCTTTCTGTCTTCAGATGCAAGCTTTTTCCTCCTCCCTGTCTGTGTCTAAAACTCCACCAGACTTCATTTGTTCCTGCTGTTGGTACGCTTGTTAAGGACTGTCACTCCTCCCTTCACCTGCGGGCTCTTAAAGCTGGAACCTGGGTTCTCGCCCTCCCAGTTAGGTCCCTGCGAAGCGTTGTGTACGTCTCCAAGTCCTCATCCCTCCCGAGTGTGCTGGTCCGCGCAGTCAGGCTTCCACCCTGGCCGCCCACCCCCTTCCTGAAACTCCTTCCTTCGCATCCTAACCAGAAAAAACACAACATACACAGTGTGTTCACCCTCTGATGGCTTTTCTATGACCTGGGTGACTTGTTTCCCTTTTACACTTTTTCGTTTTCTCTACAAAACCAAAAGCGTGTTGATCAAAGACAGTGTTGAGAAAGGACCATGACAGGATAAGTGACCCGTGGCATGGAAACTCAGACCCGGCCTTGGGTTCGGGGTGTATATGCTTCTAGGACTGTTCGTCTGAGGAGGTGGCTGACTTGCTCCCCCGACGCGTAGCGTGTGTGATGACGTGTCGCGGTGAGCGTCCTGCTCTTCCCACTTAGCACCTTAGCGCTTTAATGTGAAATATCTTACAATCATGAGCCCTTATCTTACATTGTGTTTCAAAACATTTTGCATAATAAATTTTCTCACTGGATGCAATTTCCCCAATGTACTTACTGAACAGCTGTATTTCGTTTTGTGAATTACCTTCAGTGTTGTCCGTTTAATGCCTGAGGGTATAAGGATTTTTTTTAGACAATTTTTTTGGTTTGTTTTTGGGGGGAGGTAATTTGGCTTTTTTAATTATTATGTTTTTTAATGGCGGTACCGGGG